GGACTTGTTATGATTTTAGGCAGCCTCTCTGCTAATGGGTGGGAGGTTGTGTTCCTGTTTTGCTAGTTGTTTGGCATAGGGTGTCCAGCACTGTAGCTTGCTGGTCGTTGAGTGAAGCTGGGTGCTGGTGTTGAGATGGAGATCTCTGGGAGATTTTCGCCGTTTGATATTATGTGGAGCTGGGAGGTCTCTTGTTGACCAGTGTCCTGAAGTTGGCTTTCCCACCTCAGAGGCACAGCACTGACTCCTGGCTGCAGCACCAAGAGCCTTTCATCCACACAGCTCAGAAAAAAAGGGAGAAAAAGTAGAGAGAAAGAATTAGTAGAAGTAGGAAGAAAGGAAGGAAGGAAGAAGAAAAGAAGGAAAGAAGGAAAGAAAGAAAAGGAAGAAAGGAAGTAAGGAAGAAGAAAAGAAGGAAAGAAAGAAAAGAAAGAAAGGAAAGAAAGAAAAGAAAGAAAGGAGGGAGGGAGGGATGGTGGGAGGAAGGAAGGAAGGAGGGAAGGAAGGAAAAAAGAAAGAAAGAAGATAAAGTAAAATAAAATAAAATATAATAAAGTTATTAAATTAAAAAATAATTATTAAGAAAAAAATAATGGACGGATAGAACCTTAGGACAAATGGTGGAAGCAAAGCTATACAGACAAAATCTCATACAGAAGCATACACATACACACTCACAAAAAGAGGAGAAGGGGAAAAAATCATAAATCTTGCTCTCAAAGTCCACCTTCTCAATTTGGAATGATTTGTTGTCTAAAGGAGGGAGGGAGGGAGGGAAGGAAGGAAGGAAGGAAGATAAAGTAAAATAAAATAAAGTTATTAAAATAAAAAATAATTAAGAAAAAAAATTAAAAAAGAACAAAAAAAACCACCGGACAGATAGAACCCTAGGACAAATGGTGGAAGCAAAGCTATACAGACAAAATCTCACATAGAAGCATACACATACACACTCACAAAAAGAGGAAAAGGGGAAAAAAATCATAAATCTTGCTCTCAAGTCCACCTCCTCAATTTGGGATGATTCGTTGTCTATTCATGTATTCCACAGATTCAGGGTACATCAAGTTGATTGTGGAGCTTTAATCCGCTTCTTCTGAGGCTGCTGGGAGAGATTTCCCTTTCTCTTCTTTGTTCTCACAGCTCCCAGGGGCTCAGCTTTGGATTTGGCCCCGCCTCTGCGTGTAGGTCGCCGGAGGGCGTCTGTTTTTCGCTCAGACAGGACGGGGTTAAAGGAGCCGCTGATTTGGGGGCTCTGGCTCACTCAGGCTGGGGGGAGGGAGGGGCACAGAGTGCCGGACGAGCCTGCGGCGGCAGAGGCCAGCATAACGTTGCACCAGGGTGAGGCGCGCCGTACGTTCTCCCGGGGAAGTTGTCCCTGGATCCCGGGAGCCTGGCAGTGGCGGGCTGCACAGGCTCCCCGGAAGGGCGGTGTGGAGAGTGACCTGTGCTCGCACACAGTCTTCTTGGTGGCGGCAGCAGCAGCCTTAGCGTCTCATGCCCGTCTGTGGGGTCCGCGCTTTTACCTGCGGCTCGCGCCCGTCTCAGGAGCTCCTTTAAGCAGTGCTCTTAATCCCCTCTCCTCACGCACCAGGAAACAAAGAGGGAAGAAAAAGTCTCTTGCCTCTTCGGCAGCTCCAGACTTTTCCCCGGACTCCCTCCCGGCTAGCCGTGGCGCATTAGCCCCCTGCAGGGTGTGTTCACGCCGCCAACCCCAGTCCTCTCCCTGCTCCAACCGAAGCCCGAGCCTCAGCTCGCAGCCCCGCCCGCCCCAGCCGGTGAGCAGACAAGCCTCTCGGGCTGGTGAGTGCCGGTCGGCACCGATTCTCTGTGTGGGAATCTCTCCGCTTTTCCCTCCACACCCCTGTTGCTGCGCTCTCCTCCGCAGCTCCGAAGCTCCCCCCCTCCGCCACCCCCGGTCTCCGCCCGCGAAGGGGCTTCCTAGTGTGTGGATACCTTTCCTCCTTCACGGCTCCCTCCCACTGGTGCAGGTCCCGTCCCTATTCTTTTGTCTCTGTTTTTTCTTTTTTTCTTTTGCCCTACCCAGGTACGTGGGGAGTTTCTTGCCTTTTGGGAGGTCTGAGGTCTTCTGCCAGTGTTCAGTAGGTGTTCTGTAGGAGTTGTGCCACGTGTAGATGTATTTCTGGTGTATCTGTGGGGAGGAAGGTGATCTCCGCGTCTTACTCTTCCGCCTTATTCCGCTCGTCCCGTCCGCACCGTGCAGTCCACGTCGCATTGGCAACGTCAGCCGGCTGCTCCGTCTAAACCCCGTCTGGCTTCCCCGAGGCCTTGGTGGAAGGTGTGATGACCCCAGCAGGTCTATCCTAGGCCAAGAGGTGGAGGCGGCCTTCCCCTCACCCCGCCGCTCTCTGCTGGGCTCCGCAGAGCCGCGTGTACCTGGGGCAGCACGCCCTCCCCCGTGGTCGCCAGTTTTTAGTTTTGATGAATCCATTTAATCTATTTTTTTCCTTTCGTTGTTTGTGCTATTGGTATCATAATTACCATTGCCAAATCCGAGGTCACAAAGGTTTAGGCTATCTTTTCTTCTTTCTTCTAAGAGTTTTATGTTTTTAGCTCTCTCATTTAGGTCTTTGATCCATTTGGGGTGCTAATCTTGACCTTGTCCCTTACTTTGTGACCTCAGACTGTTCATTTGCCTTTTTTAAGCCTCACTTTTTTCATCTGTTAAAATAAAAGTCGATATGTGAGTGCACAAAACAGCAACAGAAAACAGATTAGTGGTTGCCACCGCTGGGAGTTGTGAGCAGGGTATTGACCACAAAGATGAGAGAACTTTTGGGAGTGATGAAAATACTTTGTATCTTAATTGTGGTGATGTTTGTACAACTATATACATTTTTCAGGGCTCATAGAACTGTATACCTAAAAGGAGTAAATTTTACTGTATGTATATTATACTTCAGTAAACCTAGCTTTAAAAAAAAAACACAAAAGCCTTACGACAACTCTACAAAGTATGTGTTATTCTTTTCCATTTTGAGGCTAGAGGAAACTGATACTTAGGAAGGTTAGTGGACTTGCCTATGGTCCCACATTTTGTATGTGGCAGTTCTAGGATTTTAACCTAAATCTGCCTGATTGTAGAGCTTGTGATCTTCCTACTCATTTTTAGCCTGTCCCTGACAGTGTGTGGATTCTATTGTAAAAGGCTAACCTTGTGAAAGCCAGGAACCCTGTCTGCCTGTGAGCCACTCACCAGAAGTAGCTGTCTTATTCCAAATTCTGAACCCCTGGCAGATCTCATTTCTGCCAGTCATTAATTGAGATTGGAATCCATGCTGTTGTGGAGTGCTACTCAGACATGGTCTCCTGAGACTGTGGCCCTCATTTTGGAGCAGCAGGAGATCAGTTTCAAAACTGATGAGTTTCTTTGGTTATGAAAAGCAATTTCTAACTTTGTCCAATCAGCAGCACAGAGTACCTTCTCCGTAGGAGAGTGCTCAGATGTTTACAGGGCCCGTTGTGCTGCTTAGCACAGTCTTCCTTACTCTGGCTTATTTAGCAGGGAACGGGTCGGGTGGAAGAGAGATCCAAGGCAATCACCGTCATCATTTACATCTGCATGCCACTTTATAGTTTGCAGTGTATTTTAACATCTGTGAACTCTCTTAATTTTCTTAGCACCTTGCCAGGAGAGTGCTTATATTTAGAGAGAGTGTATTCTTGGATAACTCTGGCTGTGTGTCTTTTCCTTAAATTGTGCTGGAATGTGTATATCTCCTGTAACTTTTATCCTGGAATTGTTCTAGTTTCAGTTTGTCAACTGGTGGTAGTTTAATCTAGCCTCTTGCCCTGGGGTGATTTGGCAGCACTGCGCATTGGGTACATTTCAAGTTCTATCCTCTGAATTTGACCAACATCATTTCCTTTTTTGCCTGTTTGCCCCACCTTCGTCTCTTTCGGAACCCATCTTTCCTCCACCTCTCATTCCAGAACCCTGGACAGAGTAATTAATCTCAGAGCAATCGTCATCAAGCCAGCTGTTGACTTTAACAGCCTGTCTTCAATGTTTGACTTGTTTCCTATCCTGAGGTGCTATGGGAGAAGTTAATGACCTAAAAAATTGCCCATCTATCATGTGAGCCTAGTTAGGAGGGAATTGTTTGATTTTTTATGACGTGTAAATAATATGTTTGGAGACATTTTCAAACATGTGTTGGCCTGTGTGTCAGAGCTGGTTCCCTAAACAAGGTGGGACAAATTGGCTGGGTAATAGAGCTTAATGACAGATTTTCCATTAATCAGAATGGAGAACGTGCTTTATTAAGATAATTAACAGATCACTTGTGCAGGTGATACTTATTGCACAGAAATGTCCAAGTTTCTTTCCCTTGAATAAGCTTTGAAAGAGATCTTGGCTATGTTTCCTTGTTTGCATTAAAATGATCAATGGCAGTAAATTCCCGTTTTCTTCCAAAACTGCTAGTAACTAGTATCCTGTCCTCTGTAAGTGCAAAAGGTGGGTGACACACTTGCTGCTCTTCCAGCAGTCTGTGTGTTTATCACCAGGTACTCGGGCTCCCTTGGTGAGGAGTAGAATTGCATCCTTTCCCAGCTCCTAGACTAGCATCCTTAGAATTAGAAAGGGCCTCAGAGAGCCTAAAGTAATTGATTTTACATCAGGACACTGAAGCCCAGAGAGGGGATGGGACTTGGCCAATGCCACACAGTACACTCATGGTAGAGGCATCTGTGGGATAGTGGGACTAGTACTGAACTGAGAATCAAAAGGCCGGGGTTGACATTAGGCAAATTGTGTCACCTCTCTGCCTCTCAGTATCTTCATGTGTACAATGGGAAAAGTGTCTAGCATAGGGCCAAATACAAACAAATGGCTTTTTTGTAGTCCTCCTTCTACTGTACCGTGTTGCTTCTCTATGAGTGTAACCTGAAGATTATAGATCAGAAGTTGATGTCAGGGAGAATGAGCAATCATTAATCAATTCTGTTTTTTTGTTTGTTTGTTTGTGTCTCCGTAGGATTCTCAGTTGTCCACAATGAACCCTGTTTATAGCCCCGTGCAGCCTGGGGCTCCTTATGGCAACCCTAAGAACATGGCCTACACAGGTGAGTGGTGTGGGAATGGCTCTCATTTTGAGAAGTGGTGGTTAAGGATGTTATCTGATAACATTTTGAATGACTTTTGGTATACTGTGCCTCCAAAAGCCCTAGTAAAGCTTGGGAACTTGTAGAAGGGAGACATGTCTGGGGTCTAGTGCAGATGGAAATGACATTCTTAAGACCATGTCTATTGAATTGCCAACTAGGAGAAAGGAAGGGAGGTAACATTTATTTATTACTGAGTACCTACCATGGGCCTAGCCCTGTGCTGGGCACTTCTGCATATCATGTTTAACTTTAATCTTAGAAGTAGTTGTACAGGGTGTGGTTTATTATCACCATTGCACAGATGAGAAACTACAGTTTCAGTAAGAGGCCACAAACAAAAATAGATATTTGAACCCAGGTCTGCTGATTCTGAAGGCTGATCTTTTTCCTGACTGCATACCATGCTGTTTCCTACTGCACTGCCTTTGTGTATGTTGTCCCTCTGTCTAGAATGCCATTGTCCCCTGACAACTTCACCTTATCCTTTAAGATCTCGGCTCTGAGCTCAGACAGCACTTTTCCAGGGAGAATTCTTTCCCTTACTTGGCCTTGGGCAAGCTTTTTTTTTTTTAATTAATTAATTTATTTATTGATTTTGGGCTGCGTTGGGTCTTTGTTGCTGCGTGTGGGCTTTCTCTAGGTGCGGTGAGCGGCAGGCTTCTTATTCGGTGGCTTTCTCTTGTTGCGGAGCACAGGCTCTAGGCACGCGGGCTTCACTAGTTGTGGCTTGCGGGCTCTAGAGCACAGGCTCAGTAGTTGTGGCACACGGACTTAGTTGCTATGGGGCATGTGGGATCTTCCCGGACCAGGGCTCAATCCTGTGTCACCTGCATTGACAGGCGGATTCTTAAAGCTCTTTCAGATAATAGCTAGATGACTTTGGACAAGTTGCTTAGCCTCCCTGAATTTAAATTTATTTTATAAATTGAGATCATATTATCTATTTCACAGGATAGTTATGAGAATTAAATGAGATAATTAGTACTCCATAGGGAGAGAGGGAAGATTGTCTTTGTTTCTACTGATCAGTGAAGATCAGTATCAGCCTGGAACTATGGGGTTTTTTGGCTGAGTTGGGTCTTTGTTTCTACGCTCAGGCTTTCTCTAGTTGCGGCGAGCAGGAACTACTCTTCGTTGTGGTGCATGGGCTTCTCATTGCGGTGGCTTCTCTTCTTGTGGAGCATGGGCTCTAGGTGCGCGGCTTTCAGTAGTTGCAGCATGTGGGCTCAGTAGTGGTGGCTCGCGGGCTTAGTTGCTCTGCTGCATGTGGGATCTTCCCAGACCAGGGATCGAACCTGCGTCCCCTGCATTGGCAGGCACATTTTTAACCACTGTGCCACCAGGAAAGTCCCTGGAACTATGTTTTCAGTTAATTTTTCTGCTGGGATTCTAAGACTACACAGATAGTATAAACTCCACATAAGTAGAATACATTCAAACTTCACACAGGCCAAGGTTTCAAATTCTTCAGGAAACTTTCTTTTTTACCCTTAGCTTCCTGTTGTCTCTGTACTTTTCAGACAAATTTTTTTTCTTTTAAACTGACTTATGACCTCTAAATTCTCAGCTTTATGCAGGGGAATTTGAGTTCCAGCTCTTGACTTCTCCAAGGCCCAGAGCCTCATCTCCCATCCCCTCCATAGCTGTGAAAAGCAAGCCCTTTGATTGCCCAGACCGAAAAACCTTCCCAGAGCATCCCAATATCAGTTCACTGTGAGAGTTCCTGATTTTTCATTTCATTTTTTGACCCTGGAGATTTTTTTCTTTCCTAAAATCTCAAGTCTGCCTGTGTTTGTTATATAACATAAACTGTTAGTTATACTTTTTATCCAGCTTTTCTAAGTGTTACGGAGTAGGCAGATTTTCAGGTTATCTTTTCCTCCACATTGCAAGAAATAAAGATCCAAGTGAGATAATCTGTAAGCAAATGCCAAATACAATGCTTTAGAGTAAACATTTGTTATTATTGTTAGTAACAATGATGGTTATGTTAAAGAGTGTTAATTACCATTTGGCAAGCACATACTAAGTACTTTATATATATTAATTATAATCTTATTAATCATAAACCCCATAGTACTTTTCTTTTAGCTAAGTAACTGGTAGTTTAATTCAGGTTGTATTACTTGGCCAGTATATGTAGCTTCTGAAGGAGGAGGAAAGATTTGAACTCGGATCTTTATGATATCAGAGTGATATGCTTTCTGTTATAGCAAGCTGATTTGTCTTAAAATATGTGCTTCTTTCACTGCTTCCAGTGATAAGCTAGGGGAGAGGGTTTTCTTTTCAGTTTCTAGGACTAGGGAGCCTCACCTTTGAGGAGCTAGGAGCCTGCTCCTGGCCAGCAATTTGGGGTAGACTCGGAAGGGGGCAGTAGAAGTGGAGGGTCAAGTCCATTGTGCTGTCATCTGCTTCAGGGGTAATGGGGTGGTGGACACAGGGAATAGAGAAGTTGGGAAAATTCCTGATTTTAAATTCTCTCTGAAATGTATGAGGGAAATAAAATACAGCTTTGCAGTTATAATTCTGACACTAATTCCAATGTGCGGGTTCTTTCCGCACACCAAGCTGTTCTCTGACACCAGCTGGGTGTCCTACAGTTCAACTCAATTCTGACACTGTCTACCTGGAGATAACGTCATTTCAGAGGTTGAGAGCTCAGCCCCGCAAAACTGTCCTCATTTCGGATGCCAATCACAAGTCCAGGTTGTGACCTGTGCTTCTGACTGATTGGCTATAAATCAGAGGTTCCCATAACCCCCCTCCTTGGGTTCAATTAATTTGCCAGAGCAGCTCATAGAACTTAGGAAACCAGTTTACTCACTAGATTATTGGTTTATTATAAAAGGATGTAGCTCAAGAACAGGCAGATGGAAGAGATGCGTAGGGCGATGTATGCAGAAAGGAATGTGGATCCTCTAGAGCAGGGGTCTCCAACCCCCGGGCCATGGACAACTACAGGTTCCGGCCTGTTAGGAACCGGGCCTCACAGCAGGAGGTGAGTTGCAGGCCAGCGAGCAAAAGCTTCGTCTGTCACTCCCCATAGCTCGCATTACCGCCTGAACCATCCCCCACATTGCTTTCATTACCGCCTGAACACCCCACCCCCCGTCCGTGGAAAAATTGTCTTCCATGAAACTTGTCCCTCATGCCGAAAAGGTTGGGGACCGCTGCTCTAGAGGGTGCCAGCACTCTCCCAGCACCTCCACATGTTCACCAACCTAGAAGCTCTCGTCCTTTTTGGTTTTTATGTTGGCTTCAGTACATAGGTATGATTGGCCATTGCTGATTGATTCAGCTTGTAGCCCCTCTCCTCTCCCCAGAGGTCAAGAGGAGGGGTGGGACTGAAAGTTTCAAATCTTCAATAACATGCTTGGTCTCCTTGGCAACTAGCCCCCATCCTTAGGTGCTTTCCAAAAGTTACCTTATTAACATAAACTCGGGTGTGGTTGAAAGGGGTTTGTCATGAATATCAAGACATCCTTTGGGAATTCCCTGGCAGTCTAGTGGTTAGGACTCTGCACTTCCAGTGCAGGGGCAGGGGTTTGATCCCTGGTCAGGCCGTAGGATCCTGCATACCATGCAGCGTGGACAAAACAACAACAACAACAAAAAGACATCTTTATTGCTCTTACCACTTAGGAAATTTCAAGGGTTTTTAGGACCCCTGTGCCAGGAACAGAGATGAAGACCAAATATATACTTATTATGTCACAATATCACAGCAATACAATGTATTCCAGTGAACAGTTGTCTTCTAGCCAATTGACAGCATTCTCTCTCTCTCCTTTTAAAAGCTCTTTTACTGAGCACTTATTGTGTGCCAAAATTTGAGCTCAGTGTTTTACAGACTATTTATTATTTATTTATTTTTTGTGGTACGCGGGCCTCTCACTGCTGTGGCCTCTCCCGTTGCGGAGCACAGGCTCCGGACGCGCAGGCTCAGCGGCCATGGCTCATGGGCCTAGCTGCTCCGCGGCATGTGGGATCTTCCTGGACTGGGGCACAAACCCTTGTCCCCTGCATCGGCAGGCAGACTCTCAACCACTGCGCCACCAGGGAAGCCCCAGACTATTTATTTTTATACTTGCAGTAATCCTATGAAGTGGTTATAACTAGCTCCTTGAACACCTTGGAAAAGTGAGTTTAGAGAATATAATCTGTTCATATACTTTCAAATAACTGAATGTGTAGATAGAGTTGTAGAATGAATGTTTATGTCCCCCCAGATTCATATGTTGAAGCTCTAACCCACAATGTTATAGTATTTGGAGATGGGGCCTTTGGGAGATAATTAGGTTTAGATGAGGTTATGAGGGTGGGGCCTTCATAGTGGGATTAGTATGCTTATAAGAAGAGGAGGAGACACCAAGTTTTCTCTCTGCCGTGGGAGGACACAGCAAGAAGGCTGCCATCAGCAAACCAGGAAGAGAGAGCCCTCACTATAACTCAACCAGGCTGGCACCCTGATCACATACTTCCAGCCTCCAGAATTGTGAGAAAGAAATTTCTGTTGTTTAAGCCACCCAGTCTATGGTATTTTGTTGTGGCAGCTCCAGCTGACAATAAAGATAGTACAGTGAACACTTGAATATATGTCACATAGATTCACCATGACAATGGGCTTTTTACAGACTGGACATTTCTTTTTCTGAAAGGCCTCAGAAATGTTTCTCTGCTAGAAGTTTGAAATGAAGTCAAGACCAAAACATTCTCTATTTTTCTTTTCTTTCTTTTTCTCTTCTTTTCTTAAAATATTCTAATAGTGAGAGCGTCCAAGGATCACCAGAGGTCTGGTATATGTGCTGAAGAGAGGACAGGTTTTGGAACCTGTCAGATCTGGATTAGAATCTAGGCTCTGCCACTAATTAGCTGCGTGAGCTTGAGTGAGTTATTTAACCTTTCTGAATCTCAGTTTCCTCAACTGTGAAATGGGATAATGATCTATACAGATGGTTGGTTCATGGGTCCATGTTTATAAAGCCTCTGGCACCAGACTTATAGTTGACACTCAGTTAATGGTTATCACAATGCACAGCAATGAGTATACCTCTGTAGGGGAAAGAATATGGGATATGGAGTTAGTGACCTAGATTATAGACCTGATTCTGCCACTTAAAAACTATGTGACATCAGATAAATTATTAAACTTTCTGGGCCTCAGTGTATCCTTTGCAAAAAGAAAAAGGACTAGGAATGCCTTCTTTACAAGACAGCTGAGAGTAATAAATGTAACAGGGCCAACCATTGACTTGTGAAGTTTCAAAAACCCAATTAGAAAAGAATTCTGAAATGTGAGAACAGATGGACTCCCTTATACTAACCCATCATTTTATAGGTGAGAAGATAGAGGAGTGTTTGAGGAAAGTGTTGGAGCTAGGTCTTGTACCTAGGTCTTCCCACAAAGTAACAACCAAGGTTTTATCCTTGAAAACCTTGCTTGTCAACATCCTGTCCTGGCCACTTCCCAAACTTCTGCTGGCCCAGACCAGCTCACATGCTCTCCCCACTCCTGTTCTGAGCCCTAAATGCATTTCGTAGCTTCAGCATGCAGCAAACATGTTAAATACTTCATATACCTCCCACAAAAGACATGACCTTCAAGGTTGCAAAGCTAGGAAATCGATCTGTTCATATACTTCACTAGCGTTTTTCATCAGTTCGTTTTCCCCTAGAATGCTTTCTTTACTTAAAAAAATAAAGTCAATTTAAGAAGCAGATCTGGGGGCTTCCCTGGTGGCACAGTGGTTAAGAATCCACCTGCCAATGCAGGGGACACAGTTTTCATCCCTGACCCGGGAAGACGCCACGTGCTGTGGAGCAGCTAAGCCCATGCACCACAACTACTGAGCCTGCGCTCTAGAGCCTGTGAGCCACAACTGCCGAGCCTGCGCACCACAACTACTGAAGCCCATGTGCTCTAGGGCCCACATGCCACGAATACTGAGCCCGTGTGCCGGAACTACTGAAGCCTGTGCACCACAACAAGAGAAGCCACCGCAATGAGAAGCCCACGCACCACAACAAAGAGTAGCCCCCACTTGCCATAACTAGAGAAAGCCCTTGCGCAGCAACGAAGACCCAATGCAGCCAAAAATAAATTTAAATTAAAAAAGTTAAAAAAAAGCAGATTTGTATTTGACACGGCAGTTTATCAGCTAGAGGACCTCAATAATTAAGCTGACAGCCTGCAAATACAATGAATAATCTGATATATCAGTAAGGTTTAAAAAAAAAAAATCTTTCTCTGCAGTGACCCAGGCCCTGTACCTTTCACCCTCTCTGTTAAGGATCACCTGGTGGAGGTTTTAAGACTAACTGACATTTGTACTTTGTTCTTTGCAAAGAACTTTTGTGGGTTTTTCCCCTATATATTTCTTATAACAAGTCTGGGGAGATAGCCCTTATTTTCCAAATAAAATGACTGGGGATGAGCTTTCCCAAGGTCATGCTACTACTGAGCCCGTGTGCCACAACTGCTGAAGCCCACGTGCCTAGAGCCCGTGCTCCGCAACAAGAGAAGCCACCACAATGAGAAGCCTGCGAACCACAACGAAGAGCAGCCCCCACTCACTGCAACTAGAGAAAGCTCACGCGCAGCGATGAAGACCCAATGCAGCCAAAAAAAAAAAAAAAAAAAAAACTACTAAATAGTCAAGTTTTCCCTTTCAAAATAAATAAATAAATAAATAAATAAATACCTTTATGTTTCTCAGATTACATCTTTCTTCCCCATCCTTCCCACCCTTTATCATTCAGGCCATTCTTACTCTTTCTTGGATTATTTACACTGCCCCCTAACTGGTCTTTCTGACTCCTATCACATACCTTCTCCCCAATGCGTTCTTTACAAATCAACTAAAATCATTTTTCTAACTTGAAAATTTGACCACATCACTCAAGTGCTTAAAACCCTTTAATGATTCTTCACTGTCATTTGGATAAAGTCGAAACTTCTTAGCTTGCAATAGGAGATTTTTATGACCTGACCATTCAGATCTCTCCAGCCCATCTTCTGCTCATCTTATCTATCTATATTCTCAGTCCAGATGGTGGCTGTCATTATGTTTTAGAGCTATAATTTCATTAGAGGTCATCAAATACAATCTTATTCTCAGATGAGGAATCTGAGGTCTTGTAAGTGCCTAAGGAAAGAACTTATTACAGTTCACAGTGAATTCAGTATCTGATTTACTAGTACCCAGCTTGCCCCTGGCATACCATGAATATTGTCTAAATATTTTTTGGGTAAATAGATGGATGGACAAATATCAAAATTGGAAGTAGAAACCAAAACTTTGGCAGCCAATCTAGTTCTCTTTCTACTTACTTTATGCTGCTTCTTTATTTCCAAGAATGAATATGTATATATAAACACCTGGTATGTAGTTAGGCTCTCATTAGGTACTAAAACATTAGTAGCCATTGTTTTATTAGTCATCATTATATCCCCAGAGCCTAGCACAAAGATGGGTACAGAGTAGATTCTCAGTAAATTTCAAAGAGAAGTGAAGGAGAAGAGAAAGGAAGGAAGGAAAGGAGAGAGGGAGGGAGGGAGAGAGAAGGGGAGGGGAGGGGACGGGGTCACATCAGAGAATTATGAGATGGGGTTGAGGGAAAGACTCCTTTGATCTGGCTGCCCTTTCTAATGAGTAGCTCTCTGTCATGGCAGGAAGAGTCTGGGACAGGTTGCCAGTGTGAGAGAGATTGTTCTTGCTTTGTAGGTGAATGAACTGAGGCTCAGAGAATTTAATTTGGATGATCTGTTGTGACTGGTCAACCCTTTGGATGGACCAGATGGAACAGGGGGATTTTTCTCCTTATGAGTTATGAAGAGACAGCAGAGATCCTCAGAGAAAACAAAAGGGATCTTCTCCCCTTGCCTACTTGGTTTATAGCAAATTTTCTTTTTTAGAACAATGATAGTTGAAGTCTAACAATTCCTTCGAGCTTCTTAGAAAGGAAGAGGTATCCTCAAACCTCCTACATTACCTATGTAGTCAGCTTTGGACTGGCTTACTTTGGGTCTCAGCTTCTTTGCTAACAAAGCCAGATTTGACTTCTAAAAACAAAATTAACTTTCAGTTATAAGATAAATAAGTACTAGGAATGTAATGTACAACATGATAAATATAATTAACACTGCCGTATTTTATATATGAAATTTACTAAGAGCAAATCCTGCGTCCTCATCACAAATAAAAAATATATTTTTCTATTTAATTTTATATCTACATGAGATTATGGATGTTCACTAAACTTATCGTGATAACCATTTCATGATGTATGTAAGTCAAATCATTATGCTGTACACCTTAAACTTATTATAAGTTATTATTATAAGTCAATTATAATAAGTCAGTTATATAAGTCAATAACTTATTATTATAAGTCAATTATATCTCAATAAAACTGGAAGAAAAAAATTGGACTCGCCTTTACCAAATTTTCTCTGAAGCTTTAGAAAACAAGGGTCCGCAGAACCCCATGTAATAATATATAAGAAGTAAAATACTTTACAACTTTACCATTTGTAATTTCATTGAATCCTTATAACAGTTGTATGAGGTAGAAATTTTTATTAAAAAATTGATTTTACAGATGAAGAAAGACTAAGAAAAGTCAATAAGTGTGTACAAGTTTTTACTGCTTGTAAGTGGCAAAGCTAAGACTAGAGCTTAGGTTTACTGGAATCTAAATCCAATTCCAATGTACTTCCCACTCCACCAGGCTGTCAGGCAAGGCCTCTCTGGGTTTTAAAGGGAACACAAGCAGTGTGTCTGCCTCTGATACATTATATGTGGTGTCGGTACAAAAAGCAAATAGATTAAATCTTGTCTGGGCAAGAATCATGCACATTAAACTGATTTGCTCTTTGCTTGTGGCTGATTTACTTGCCTGGATCACAAAATTATTTCCCACTTTGGTAGGAAAGAAAGCAGTGTTTTCCCCCAAAGAAAGAAGTGTTGGCCTTGAGTTATTATTCCCCTGCTCCTTTTGGCTTCCTGTTCTCTGAAGAAGTTGTTCATTAATTTCATGTCTTTCTAGACTGTGAGCTCTTTAAGTATAAAAGTCAAGAACCTCCTGTGCCTGGAAGAGAGCAGGAGTTAGTTACTCATTAAATATTCATTGAATTAAGTTATTATCATTATGTTTATATTAATTACAAATTACTGTTGCTGTAGGTAATTATTTTATAGTAATAACTACCATTAATGTTAAGAAAGCTAGGGTGGCTATGCTATTATCAGACAGAACAGACTTTAAAACAACAACAAAAAATGTTACTAGAGTTAAAGAGGGACATTTTATAATAATAATAAAAGAGTCAATCATTCATGAAGGTATAACAATTACAAACATATATACACCTAACAATAGAATCCTAAAATATGTGAAACAAACTATACCTAACAGATATCTGTAGGACACGCCAACAACAGAATTTGGTTGTCTCCAGTACACATGAAACATTCTCCAGGATAGTCAGTATGCTGGGCCATAAAACAACTCTCAGTACATTTAGAGGATTGAACTCATACAGAGTATGTTCTCCAGTCACAATGGAATGAAATTATAAATTAGTAATAAAAAGAAATTTGAGAAATTTACAATTTAGTGAAAAATAACACACTCCTGAATAATCAATGGGTCAAAGAAGAAATCACAAGGGAAATTAGAAAATACTTGGAGATGAGTAAAACACACCATACCAAAATTTATGGGATGTAGCTAAAGTATACTTAGAAGGAAATTTATAGCTATAAATGCCAACATTAAAAATGAAGAAAAGGGGCTTCCCTGGTGGTGCAGTGGTTGAGAGTCCGCCTGCTGATGCAGGGGACGTGGGTTCGTGCCCCAGTCCGGGAGGATCCCACATGCCGTGGAGCGGCTGGGCCCGTGAGTCATGGCTGTTGAGCCTGCGCGTCCGGAGCCCGTGCTCCACAGTGGGAGAGGCCACAACAGTGAGAGGCCCACATACCGCAAAAAAAAAAAAAAAAAAAAAAAAGAAGAGTGATCTCAACTCAGTAACCTAACCTTCCACCTTAACACACTGGGGGGGATAAAAAAGTAAACTAAACCTAAAGCAAGTAAAGGGAAGGGAATAATAAAGATTAGAGTAGAAATCAATGAAATTAAAAAAACAGAAGAACAATCGAGAAAATCAATAAATCAAAAGTTGGTTCTTTGAAAAGAGCAACAAAATTAACAAACTTTTATCTAGACTGATTAAGAATAAAAGAGAGAAGACTTAAATTAGTAAAATCAGGAATGATACAGGGGGCATTATTACTGATTTTACAGAAATAAAAAGGATTATAAGGGCATATTATGAACAATTATATGCCAACAAATCAGATATCTAGGAGGAATGGAAGAACTACAGATGGTACCTGACTTATGATGATTCAACTTAGGATTTTTCAACTTTGCAATGGTGTGAAAGTAGAAAATCTGAATAGACCTATAACATAATTAGTAAAAAAACAAACAAACTTTCTACAAAGAAAAGCCCAGGACAAACATCTTCATTGGTGAGTTCTAACAAATATTTAAATAAGAATTAACACTCACCTTCCACAGGCTCTTCCAAAAAATAGAGGAGGGGGGAGTACTCTCGGCAAGTATTGTCCTGATACCAAAATCAGGCAAAGACATCATAAGAAAACTATAGACTAATATCCCACTTGAATATAAATGCAAAAGTCCTCAACAAAATAGTAGCAAAATGAGCAATAACGTATAGAAAGGATTATATTATACACTGTGACCAAGTGGGATTTATCCCAGGGGGGAAGATCCATTCAACATAGGAAAATCAATCAGTGCAACACACCATATTAAAACATTAAAGGACAGAACTCACATAATCATCTCAATAGATACAGAAAAAGCTTTTGACAAACTCGAATACCCTTTCATGATTTAAAGAAACAAAGAAATGAACAAAAACTCCAACAAACTAGGAATAGAAGGAACTTCCTCAACCTGATACAGGACATTTATGAAAAACCCATGGCTGTCATCATACTTAATAGAAAAAGACTGAATGCTTTTCCCATAACATTGTGAACAGGCAAGGATTTCAGGTCTCACCACTTCTATTGAACATTGTGCTGGAGGTTCTAACCAGGGCAGTTGGGCAAGAAAATGAAATAAAAGTCATCCAGATTGGAATGGAAGAAGTAAACTAGCTGTCTTTGCAGATGACACGATCTTGCATAGAGAAAATTCTGAGGAATCCATGCAGAAACTATTAGAACTAGTAAATGAGTTCAGCAAGGTTGCAGGATATAAGATCAATATATAAAAATCAATCATATTTCTGTACAGTTGTAATAAATAATCCAAAAATGAAATTATGGAAACAATTCTGTTTACAATAGCATCAAAACAAAAAAATAGGAATCAATTTAACAAAAGAAACATAAAACATAAACTCTGAAAACTACCAAACATTCTTGAAAGAAATTAACGATCTAAATAATTAGAAAAATATCCCATGTTCATGGATTGAAAGATTTAATATTTTTAAGATGGTAATACTCCCCAAATTGATCTACAGATTCAACACAGTCCCTATCAGAATCCCAGCTGACTTGTTTGCATATTTTGACAAGCTGTTCCTAAACTTCACATGGAAATTCAAAGGACCCATATTAGCCAAAACAATCTTGAACAGGAACAGATTCAGAGGACCCACACTTCCCAATTTCCCAGAACTTACTAGAAAGCTACAGGTAATCAAGACTGTGTTTTTGGCATAGGGGTAGACATATGGATCACTGGAATAGTATTGAGTGTCCAGAAATAAACCCTCGTATTTACAGTCAGTGATTTTCAACAAGGGTACCAAAAACAATTCAGTGGGGGAAAGAACAGTCTTTTCAACATATGGTGCTGGGACAACTAGATATCTACATGTGAAAGAATGAAATAGGACCCCTCTTTCACATCATATACAAAAATTAACTCAGAATAGTTCAAAGACCTAAATATAAGAGCTAGAACTATAAAACTCTTATAAGAAAACTTGGAGGTAAATCTTTGTGACCTTAGATTTGGCAAGGGTTTCTTACATATGATACCAGTAGCACAAGAAGCCAAAGAAAAAATAGGTAAATTGGACTTAATCAAAATTTAAAACTTTTGTACTTCAAAGGACACCATCAATAAAACAAAAAGACAACCCACATATTTGGGATAAAATATTTGCAAATCATCTGACAGATAAGGGACTTGTACCAATGTTTATATGTCAAGAACTCTTACAAGTCGATAATAAAGACAACCCAATTAAGAAATATGCAAAGAATCTGAATAGATAATTCTCCAAAGAAGATATAAAGATGGCTAATAAACACATGAGAAGGTGTTCAACATAATTAGTCATCAGGGAAATGCAAATCAAAACCACAGTAAGGTTCTATTTAACACCCTTAGAATGGCTATAATTAAAAAGGCAGATAATAACAAGTGTTGGCAAGGATATGGAGAAATTAAAACTCTTATATACTGATGCTAGGAGTGTAAAAATGGTATAGCCACTTTGGAAAAGAGTCTGGCTATTCCTCAAATGGTTTCCTGTCTCTATGACCTTGCTTATACTGTTTTTATTTGGGAATGCCAGTTCTTTTATCTTTGCCTGTCAGAATCCTGCCTATTCCACAAGGCCCAGCTCCAATTCCAGTTCCCCAAGCTTATATACTTAGAAACAGATTCTGCTAGGTTGTATGTCTTTATTTGGTATTACAAAATTGCCTTTCAGAATGCTTTTATTAATTCCCATTGTTTCAGATCCTTCCTAACGCTTGATATTGTCAGACTTCAAAATATTTGTCAGTCTGATAGGTGTGAAATGATATTGTATTCCATCTACTTGCATTTTGCTGATTACTAGTGTCGTTGAACATCTTTTTCTTTTCTCCTCCATCTCCCGACTCATTTGAGTGATTTCTTCCATGAATTGCATGATTAGTTTCTCTTGCCTTATTTTCATTTTCTTACTGATTAATATGAGTTCTTTATTCTGGATACTAGTTCTTTTTAAATGTATGATAAATATCTTTTCTTACTCTGTGCTTGCTATTTTTTTTTTTTTTTTTTTCGGTATGTGGGCCTCTCACTGTTGTGGCCTCTCCCATTGCGGAGCACAGGCTCCGGACGCGCAGGCTCAGCAGCCATGGCTCACGGGCCCAGCCACTCCACGGCATGTGGGATCTTCCCAGAACGGGGCACGAACTCGTGTCCCCTGCATCGGTAGGCCGACTCTCAACCACTGCGCCACCAGGGAAGCCCTCTGTGCTTGCTTTTTAACTCTGTTTATAGCATCTTGTCATACAGATTTAAATTTTGATAAGTTAAATTTATCAACCTTTTGGTCTCATCTAAGAAATATTGATACTTTCTAATCCCAAGGTCAAACTGATATTCTCCTTTTTTTTTTTTTCTAATAGTTTTAAAGTTTTTGTTTCTTTGTTTAATTTAGGTCTTTGGTCTTTCTGGAATTGGAGAAGTGAGAGGTGGGGATCTAATTATTTTTTCTTCACATGAAAAACCAAGTATCCCAATATATTTTATTGAATCTGAGCAAGATTCTTTCCTTTACCAAATCTTGTTAAACAGAATAATGAAATGAAAGAGTGAATTGATCTGGGAGGGAAAGGGATTCATGGACCAAATCATCAGTTTGCAAGATTTCATCTTGCTTTTTTATCTCTTTTAAAAGATAAATGCAGGGAGGGCAGGAATCATTCACGAACAGTCTGTAAAGTGCTGAGCACCTCCCATCTGTCTTATAGATGGTGGCGGGGCGGGGGGAGCAGCAGCATACTCCTGGAGTGGTGGTTGAGACAGAATAGGCCATCTGCTTTCCATTAAAATTTCTCCCATACTGCCAGATAGGGAACTTTGGTGATATTTTTAGATTTGTAAAAGAATGTTTCCCCCTGAGGAATAGGAACACACTTACCTATGTGCTTACTTAGTAGCAATTTTATTACTAGTTTGAACCTAGCCTATTTTCTTATCTTCTTTTGTTGTGATATTGTTTTTACACTGAAGACATATCAAGGTAGGCCTGCTCTGGT